TTTAAAGTTCTTTAATATTGTCTTAGTTACTTTTTTCTTTTCCTTGACTTACAGAAAAATTGTTTCTTCTATTTTCAAATTTTATACTTCCAAAAAGCCTGATTGTGGAGTTGGAAAAAAGTATTGTGATTGATTTTAAAATGTGATATATCCACCAAATTAAACTCCAACAGATAGGCCTGTAATGCTTTCTATCTACTGGGATATCGTTGCAGTCTAACAAAAGATCTAAAAACTGAATAAAATCTCCAGCCATACTTACCTGATCCACCACTAGAGTAAAGAGATGATCAAAACATCTAGGTAAAACTTTTGGATATACTCTATATGCAACAAAACCCACACCAGGACTACATAAAAATAAAGTGGAACATAATTCCTTTTATGCACTTGATAGAATGTTATTACAGCCATTGACCAGCTCAAAACAACATAAGAAAAATGAAAACAAATTGTGCAAATAAAAACCACAGTAAATCACAATAATAATGGAGTGGTCAAAGTAGGACATACTTTACAGACAATAAAACAAAACTTAGCCACATTAAGAGAAGAAAAATTACAGTGATTGGAAAATATCAACTGTAAACAAAATGGATCCAAGTAACCTGAAATCTGACTAGATGGGGCAATACTAGCTGCAGCCAGGCATCTTTAATCTTCATTTTGGTTTATTGTTGTATTTGTTCTCTTGCTTTTAATCTTTTTATTTGTGCCCACTCAGAGTTGGGCAGCATATAAATTTTAGTAATAAGATCAACAACTTCACTATGCTGCAAATGCAAAATTATGATTGGGCCACTTACACATAGCAAATGAGTTTGTCCCACTAATGTCCCATACATTTGTTAATATCATTTTGGGAAGAAGAATGGGATTAGAGATATAAACATATTAAATATTAAAAAATAGCAATTTATCACTATATGAACGACTTTGGATTTATTGAGCGTGAGGTGTAGCAAACAAAATTATTCCATTGTGGGAAAACAGTGCCACCCCAGATTTAAAATGTTGGATTGAGAGTATGTGTTCACAAACTGACTATCAACATAATGCAAAGAGTGACCAGTATTACTCCATGTGGTCAAGAGAATGCTGTTTTTTATATTTCTGATGTTTTTGTCTTTTTTTCTTTGCTTGCTAGTTTTAGCATTTTTGCTTTCTCTTTTTTTGTATACTAAAGTAAATAAAAATCTAGAAACAAAGACCAAACACTACTTTATTCCTTTGTAACAAATTTTGCAAAGTTGACAACCAGCTCCCAAGTAAATTTGTCTGTCTCTCCCTCCATACCTGCATACATACATATATAGACGCACACATATACATATACACACACAAATAATGTATAGTATTATGTACCTTAGCCAGTGACAACACCTGGCTGACTTAGTCTAAGCTTGGGAGCTAAGCAGGGTTGGGTTTCCTTTGTACTTGTAGGGTAATCTAAGAAATCTGAAAAATATCCCAGAAAACAATAGCACACCAATTCTCTACTGCAAGACTACATGATTGTCTCCAAGGAATCACCAGGAATCAAAATCAGTCTGAAGACCTTACTTAGATAGTTTCTGGCAGCTCAAGACTCTATGCTCACAGAGGCTGATCTGTGAAAGCCATCCACTCACTTGCTAACACTACAGAGGTCAGCAACTGTAGAGCAGGTCTGACCCTGTGATCAATTCCCTAAGTGCAAGGATCCCCCAGTCTGGCTTCCCAAAAAGCAAATTTTGGGTTCTGCATACAATCCAATTCTGCTTTTTGGAGATAAGAGGGAGCTCCCCCAAGGCAAGACGCATTCTGAAGCATGTGAAAAAGAGCCCAGCCCGACTTGGGAAAGGAGAGCTTGTGCTCCTACTGCCCCTTGTTAGGTCACAGGGAATGACACACCAAGAAGTCTTCAAACCCAAGTGCTTGTTCCTGGGACAAACATTGAAAAACCATTGGATGGGACTCCTTCCTTAGCAGACTCTTTTGCATAACTCAGTCCTTGCTGTATTACAATGGATGGCTGCAGCAAGGAGATTCTGCTTGATGTCTTGTCCTAATCAGCGCATGCGAGGGGCGGGGTAGTATTTTTGGGACACAGATTGGATGATATATAGACAGCATCAGTATCTCCTAAGAGACAGATATAGTCCTTGTGGACTGAGTTACAGAAAGTTTCCTGGTGAGGGTATAATGCCTAGTTTAGCTTTGTCAGTGTTCAGTCATTTTCCTAAGAGATTTTGGCTATCCTTGAAGAAAGGTTCTCTGTATCTTGGACACTCCTAAGAAGCATTTTGAGCATCAGCCAGTCCAAACAGCAGATTTCTTGCCTTGACTGCTCTGTTCTTAGAAGTGCCCAGCAGTTCCTCCTGGCCCCTTGTCTGGAATGCGTTCGGGCACTGGGCCCACTGAGTATGCGTGCCAGTTCTAATTCAGCTGTAGGCCAGCTCCTGGTAAGTGGCTGGAGAAAAGAAACAATTATTTTCAGAGCCCGAGTGAGGGGAGCTTTTGCTACAGAAGGACACTACATGGTAAACAATCTCTGGTGATTTCAAAGCCATCCTCAGTCGGGTTCGATTCCCCAAAAAGAGTTGTGGCTAATGCCTGAAGGTGGTATCTGGATGACCTCCCCCTCCCCCTCCTCCCAAGATCTACAGGGGCAGGTGCAGACAGGCAACAGAGACGCTTGGCTTGCTCTGGCTTACATCTGCCTGCAGCAAAGGAACCCTGTATCGGGCACACTTGTGTGTCAGCTGGTGAGGAGGACCAGGTAGAATTGAGATATGACTGGCAAGGGATGACACTGAAGAGCTACCTATGGGAAAAAAATCTATCCTGCCTGCCTGCCCCTCTAGTTATCCAGCACCGCCCCCCCAGCCCAAACACATCACTTGGAGGACTAGAAAAGACTGTCAGCTTGACTGAGGCAGGCATCTTCATGGATTACTACAGAATTTCCCAAATATTTGTCTGACAATCTCTTCCTTTTGGGTCCATAGGAAGGTCCCACCAGTAGATTCTGAGAAGTACAAGAACAGTGTTGAAAGCCACTAGGCTATGGTGGGACATTTAACATATTCAAAGTTCATACAGGCTCCCTGGGGAAGAGAATTTCACCCCAAAGAGAAAGCCTAGCTGACTACTGTTGCTGGAGCAGTTTTCATAAAATAGGGTGGTGCAACTTCAGTTGGATCTGGGCAGGGTTGAGGGCTGCCCTCCATAAGGGTCTGCTTGGGAGGAGCCTTTGGGAGCCTTAAGGGAGGCTGG